GGAGATATATATATTCAAAAGGAATGACCGAAGGCTTATTATAAAGGAATGACCGAAGGCTATTATATGACCCCCGACCATCCCTCATGTGCTTAAGAATTTGAGTACCACACCCTACACTCGGGGGGGAATCAAACCCTAAACCAGAGATGACTTATAACTGACAAGTAGATGCCCGACCAACTAATTTAAGTAAGCGGTGTGTGTGTGTGTGTGTGTCTATATATATATATATATATGAATGGGGAGCACCTATATATATATATATATATATATATATAATATAGGGATTACAAGAGAAGGGTAGAGAGAACTCCTTACAAAAGAAAAGTCAAGAGAGATGAGTTCACTTTCTACATGCAATGGGCTCCCTATTTATAGGAGAAAAATAGATAAAATTTAAAATTATATGTTTGCCCCTACTTTTATGAGGGAGTTACATGTTATTTTTATCTTTTTATTAAGGTCCCACTTTATTTGGGGAGTTATAAGCCTTTATGCTTGTTATATTAATTTCCCGCTTTAATAAGCGAGTTACAGGTCATTATGGTGCCTTTTTATAGTCGGTCGGCATCCACTTTTGATGGAGCCCATTGAACACCCTTCTAAGCGAGGTTGTGTTCATATGCATCATCCCGACACTCGTGGAGTCCACCGAGTCTTCAATAGGTATGTCTTGCACTAGATAGAGGGTCTATTTCATTTTAGTCATGCTCAGAAGTGGCTACTGTTGGTCAACGTCGATCCCCCAATCTAAGGTGAGCCACGACAACCATTCTAACGTATGGAAGCCCTAATCTAGTCATTTAGGACTTCTCATGGCTCAAACGAGACTTTTTAGAGGTCAAAAAGGTCTAAGGGTCTGGCGTGACCATACTTAGAATAGGCATGGCCAAGCCTATCCCTTGACGTGACCATACCAAAAAATTAGCTTGACCATGCATGGACCCAAAAAGAGAGAGCGCTTCCTTTCTTCAGGCGTGGCTGATACACCTTAAAATTACCAGTTTTAAATATATATTTAATGCTCATTATTTGTGCATTTTTAATGATATTGTGTTTTAATGAAAGATATTTTGCATGTTTTTTGTTACTGGTACAAGAAATGGATTTTTGGAGAAAAGGGAAAAAACTATTCAATTTGGAGTCAAATCGAGTAAGGAAGAAAATTCTGATTTGAAGCATTTTTTTGGAGCAAGATTGGAGCTAAAACAGGGCAAAACAGAGCGAATTGGAGCCGCTCCAACTTTTGAATTGGCGCTATGGTGCCCAAACTGGCACCATAGTGACATTCACGTCGAGAAACAGGCGTCATAGCGTCGATTTTGGTGTCATAATGCCAGTAACCATTTCAGGCGGTTATTGCTTGATTTTGGGAGTTTTTAAGCACCACACATTTTAGCATTACAAAATCATAGAAACACCAAGAACGTTCAGAGATCATAGATGGGAGTAGGAAACTTAGATTTCTACCTTTTTTGGAGAGATTGATAAGGGATTTTGAGAGATATCTGAATGAATTGTATGAGCATTGTGTGGATCAGTAGGAGATTTTGTTGGAGGGATTTTCATCTTTCTTTCATAAGAAAAATGCTAAGTATTATATTCTTCATTATATTATAATTGTTGTAAACACTTTTTTAGTGAATTTGCTTTGATTTAAATAAAGTTGTTTTGTTTTCTCCATGCTTAGTGAGTAGTTTTCCTTACTCTTTCTCCCTGTGATGAGAATTAGTTATATGTGGGATTAGAATGGTTTGAAGGTTCTTAATTTACTTTACAAACTGATCACTTGTAATGTTAAAATCCGTTGCGAAATATAAAGACCCTGGAGGGCTATGATTTCACCCAACTAGTGAGTACCACATTAACCTTACGAGGAGGGAAACCAAAATCTAAGGAGAATGCAAATAGATAGGCAGATAAGTTTTGATAGACGTAAAATTAGTGTTTCTAGGGTGACAGACTAGTTCCTTTACCAATTTGGTCTAAAGTTGAAACTAAGGGTTCCTGGTAGGTCCTATAGAGAGTCTAGTGGGTAATCTAAAAGTGGCAGGCTAGAATCTACTCAGAACTACCACGCAAGCTGGAACTTACTTTTGATTATTCAATGTCCTTTATGCGCTTGAGAGAGGATAAAAAAGAATGTATGTTCCTTGATGTGCCCCTAGTGTATGCTGCTTTTCTGCGTGTTTTATTTTAATTTAAATCTCCGCTAACATTGTCAAAAAACTTGACACGACCCAAAATTACGCAGTAATTTAACTTTAAAAAATATGACCAAAAACTTGACCTATTTTATATTAAGTAGTCAATGTGCAAAATTAAAATGTTTATAAAATATATAAAATAGTTCACACACTAGTGGTTCCAGCAAGTGCATGTATGGCTTCAAGTAACATAGAAATTTCATTAAAAACCCCAATATCGATCCCACAGAGAAGCGCAGTAAGAAATCTCTTAGGCTAATTCAAGTCTACTACTATCAAGTCTTAGTTTGGAAGATGGAAATTCTTATGACAATAAAATAAATCACAATATTCAAACTATAAAAATTAAAGTAAGAAAGACAAGTTAAAATGGGTTTAATGAATGCTAACAGAAATATAATTAAGAGAACTAAGTTTACTAAATTAATTTCTAAACTTCAAAATTAAATTTACTAAGACTAAACAAAATTTTGTGACGAAGAGTTCAAATTTAAGAAAGCATCATTCCCCTTTATAATGAGTATATAGATTATGAAGAAATTAAAATCATTTAAAAATATATAAAATTGTTTTGTGTCATATAGGAGCATTCTTATTCTTTACTCTCTTCCGAGTGTATAAAGAACATTGACTAATCCAGAGTTTGGTTTCTAATTACGTGCTTCTAATTCCGTGCTTAGGCTGAAAGGATACCGACTACCACCCTAGAGCTCTCACTACTCCCTCACCTGAGGGCTAACAATCTCACATCAATTTCCAATCAACTGGACCAAATTTAGGAATTTTAATGTCACATTAAAATCTTTAATTCTGCATCTAACAAAGTATATTTTCCCATTTATTTGAACCCAATTTTATGGATGAAATACTCTCCCATTAAATCAAATGTGATTATTCCCATGTTGTAGAAATCATAGCCCTTTTAGAACATATATTTCTCAACACATTTTAACTTTTTCAATTTGTCAGATCGAAAAGTAAATGAAGATCGGAGTTTAAATCATCAAAAATTAATAACATTTAAAACCATAGAAAACAAAATTACTTCTTCACAAAATCATATCTCAAAGTAGGGAGAAGGATAAAGATGACTACTTAGAATTCATGAGAAGGATGCGATAAAATCTGAATTTTATATGAAAAAATAAGTTTAAAAATAAATTTACAAAACAAAAAAACAAAAGAAATAAAAAAACAGAACTTATCTCACAATCCTTCCCAAACAAATCCCTAGAAGTTCTCTTCAAGTCTTTCTCTCCTTAAGTTTGTTCATTTTTTAAATCAATAAGTCACTCAAATACTCAAGAAACACTGTACGATTAAGGAATCACTTCGAGAATGTCCGATAAAGTGGTCCAAAACTATGTGATATTGATGAAGAATGTCGCTACCAAAATCTATTTATAAACCAAGGAAGTGATAGAGAAAAAGACTCAAAACAGCTTTGATCAAGTTTTGAATATTTTTTAATATAACCACTGCTGCATTGGACGAACAACGTAGCTATATTGTTGTCGCGCCACTATCGACATTATCATTACACCACCATCGAACAGTTGTTGCCACTAGGCCACTGCCGGATCACTATTTCCTAGCCACCATCACCGCTAGCAGATCATCGCCGCCATCGGATCATCGTTGTCATCAAACCACCATCGCCCGATTCTCAATGTTAGATCACCACCATTATCACCCTGTCATCATCACTCCATCATCTTTCGATTCTCAATGATACTTTCCATCATCTCTGAAGAAAGTTAAGTTGACATTCTACCCTTTTGAGACACCACCTCCCCTTTAGGGGACATGCGGAGTTTTGTAACTTACATTTAAATAATATAATCATTTCAAATCATCTTTTGTCTCTGTGTGTGTCCAATCTTCTTGTAATGTTACGACATTCATCTCACTCTACCACTGGATAATCTTTTTTTTATACAATAAGGTCATATGAAATCAAATCAAATACAATTAAACTTCTCTTTAAGATTGAATAAGCCATGAGTGTATTAGGATGGCCAAATTAGGTTTATGAATTATTTCACATCTTCGTCATGCAAGGCTAGTCTACTCAATAAAAATATCATCTATATTTACAAATAGTATATCAGATATGAAAATCTTTTAAAATAGCTCAGTAACTCCTACCTTCACAATTTGAGCCACTTTGGTTTAGTTGGCTTCTTCTTGGCAGGCTGCTCTGACTCTGAAGCATCATGGGAAGCCTCCGCTATGGAAATTCTACGGTCAGAATTCATAGGTTCAGTTTCCTCGCGAGGAAAGTCTAATCCATTCAAGGACAATATATCTGGACGAAGATAATGCCCAGCACTAGCAACTGCGCTCAACTCTGAATCTGCAAAAAAAGAAGAAATAATTGACTCAACATAGAATATGAATATTTCCGATAAAGCTACTGCAATGCAACACATAGAAAGAGTTTCATGAGGTATCTCGCTGGAAGGCACTTAAAGATAGATCATCTACAAAAAAATATATGGAGAAATTGGTTTTAACTAGGTCTCAAAAACCAAGAATAGCATGCATCTCGTGTGTTGGTAACGCCCATTGTTTTAACCACAAGCTGTAGTGATTCATCCAAATGGTGACACCGTAAATGTTGCCGTGAAGATAAGTAAAGAGGCTAGGTGGAGGGATGGGGCCGAGAGGAGGGAGAAATATTTCCATAAGAAATACGCACGCAGCTCTGCATGCGTACTCCATTAACCCCGCAATACTCAATACTCCTATAATAACCTATGAATAACATCGAAATAGAACCCGCAAAGGTTATTGGAATGTTATTGGGGTTAAAGGTTATTGAACTTAATACCCTAATAACCTCCCAATAACCCCCCAATAACCATGGAGCGGAGGTTATTGATGAGTTATTACACACGCAGAGCTGCGCGTATTCTGTATGAAAATATTTCTCGAGAGGAGGAGGATTTTTCTTCAGAATTTAATGGAGTTCAGTTATGACAAAAGATATGCACGATGCTAAAAAAGGCAAGCCAACTATAAGCTATTTTATATTTTACATAACAACTGGAACTAGCTGTTCCAATATCATGAGCATTTAAGGGAAAAATTCTGAGTGACAAGGCGCAGCAGATCTGTGTAATATGTTCTGTTATCTATAAATACGAGAGGCCCGTGTGGATGAAGAAGATAATGTGGGTTGAGTTATGCGTAAAATGGTGAAGCCAAAAAGAGCATGCTAGAAATAATAAATTATACAAGCAAATTAGGCCTCAGCTGTGGAAATATGGGCGTACTGACGACTAAGTTTCACACAAAGCAAAAGTGTAATGATAATTTTGAATTAATATATTTATTTTGATATTCTATATATCATTATTTTTGTGATTGCTTTCACAAAAGCCGATGCTTGGTACATACCTTCTATGATGGAGTTAAAACACCGAACAATCCAACAATGAGTTGATAGAAAATTCCAATCAGAATAAGTTTGAATACTTCAAAGTCATTTTATTAATTATTTAATATGATGAAATCATTTTTTTTTTATAAGACAAGCATGTGTGTTTGGGGAATCAGGAGGAAGATGAATAATATAATAAAGTATTATTATAGAATTAGATGAGGGCCCTTAAAAGACTAAAGTAAAATAAACTCTAAAATCTTATGATTTAGGATGTTCGGGAAGAAACTAATAATATATGGGATAAACTAACAAATACTATTAAGCAAGTTGCAAAAGATGTATTTGAGGAATCAAAAGGAAAACAAAATTATGAATTAAAACAGTTGGCGGTGAAATAATAATATGCAAGAAAAGATAAAGAATAAGAAGTTATTTTATAAAAACTGGTTTAGATATAAAAGCTTGGAGAATTGAAAAAATATACGGTGGCCTATATAGGTCTAAAAGAAAAATTTGTGATGCTAAAAATTCAGTTTTAATGATCTTTATAAGAAATTAAATATTAAAGAAGATAAAAGATATTAGTATAAACTAGCAAACAAAAAAATTTAAAAAAAGTTAAAATTTCAATCAAGTTAGTATTAAGTATGAAAATAAAAAATTATTTTCCTTAGATGAGAATATTCAACATAAGTGGGTGAGATATTTAGATAAACTTTTCAATGAAGACTGAAAATATATTCGAATTTAGTGATCTTTAATATTGTAAGTAATAACAAAATTTTTTATTTATACCAACGCATTAATAAAACAGAAATTACAGACGCTTTAAAGAAAATGATGTGTGAAGAAGCAATAGAACCTAATAGTAGTCTAATAGAAGTTCAAAAATGTTTAGGAAATTTAAGAATTTCTTAACTTACTAAACTTTTAATATTATTTTAAATACTAAAAAGATATATGACGAGTGGAGAAATAGTCTAGTGGTTATTATTTTTTAGAATAAAGGGGATGCACAAGAGTGCAAATTATAGAGTTATTAAGTTAATGTAAAAAGGGGATGCACAAGAGTGTGCAAATTATAGAGTTATTAAGTTAATGTGTCATACATTAAATTATGACAGAATAAACGAACATAATTTACGACGTGAAACAAAAATTTCTTAAAATTAGTTTGGATTCATGTAGGGCAAGTCTACTATGGAAGCAATACATTTATTGAGATGTTTGATGGAGAAGTACAGAGAGAGTAAGAAGGATCTATACATGATTTTTGTTGATTTAGAAAAAGCTTATGATAAAGTTCCAAGAGAAGTACTTTAGAGAATTCTAGAAAAGAAAGGTGTTAATATTGCTTCTATTCAAGTCATTAAAGATACGTATACTAGAGCTACTACTTGTGTTCGAACACAAGAAGGATTGATCAAGTATTTTTCAATTTTAGCTGGATTGCATAAAAGATTGGCTTTAAGCTCATCTCATTTTGTTTTAGTTATGGTTGTTCTTACTAGGCCTTTACAGGTGGAGGTACCTTGGTGTATGTTTTTCGCTAATGATATGCTTCTTGTGGATAAGACTAGAGAGAGAATTCAGGAAAAACATAATTTATGGAAAACAACTTTAGAATCGAAAGGCTTTTGTTTGAGTAGATCTAAAACTAAATACATGGAATGTAATTTTAGCAGTAGATCTAGTGATAGAGTTATAACATATGGTGATCAAGTCATTAAAAGAAGTAAACATTTTAGATATCTCGAGACTATTGTTTAAAGTGATCGTGATATAGATGAGGATATTTATAATAGAATTTAAGTTGGACAATTGAAGTGGAGGAATATATCGGGCCTATTGTGTGACAGAAAAATACCGTTTAAACTTAAAGAAAAATTTTATAAGATAGTTGTGACACCTGTAATGCATTATGGTGCAAAATGTTGGCCTGTAAAAGAGAAGCATAAAATTAAGTGTGTTGAGATGAGAATGCTTTGGTGGATTAGTGGCTTTACACTTAAAGAGACAAAATGTGAAATGAATATATCTGTCAAAGGGTTGGAGTAGCTCCAGTGATAAACAAGATTAGAGAGAGTCGTCTTAGATAGCTTGGTCACGTTAAATGTCGACCACCTGATGATCCTGTTAAGAGAGTAGATGTTTTAAATTTCACTTATGTTAAGAAAGGTAGAGGAATGCCTAAAAAGACTTGGGTATATTGTATAAAAATTGATCTTAATTTATTAGAATTAAATAAAAAAAGACATTTAATAGGACACAATGGAGAAAAATGAATTATGTAGCCAGCCCTACTTAGTGGGACAAAGGATTGTTGTTGTTGTATGAACATATGGGTCTAAGAGATACAAAATCAAAGATTTGTAAGAATGAGGACTCATGTCACGACTGAACCATATACAACTCATATCGTCGTAGGTCATATCAAGCCAAGTGCGTGATGAGAAATTTCATAAGATCTATTTGGAAATAAATTTTCGTATTGTCCAAATTTTACAAGCCAATAAATCATCAATTTCACAGTAATAGAGCAAAATTCGTCTTCTACAATTTATATATACAATAACTGTTTGCATAAACAAAAATTATATACAATAATTACAATACTTTAATAAATCCAACAAAATCCAACTATCCCATAATTATAAAAAAGTTCATCTAAAATAACAATCAGGTTCCTCTACTTGCAAAAGTAATGACCTCACTTCGTTGGAAACTTACCATACTCTAAAAACATGTGAATGTCGTAGTAATGAGTAAACAAACTACTAGATTACACAAAATCTATAATTGTATTCAACGAAAAAAATAGAATAACATATATACTAACAACTATTTATCAAAAATAAACATGTGCTGATATACACAAACAGAATGCAAACTATATGTAAAATATAGCATTGTCATATCATATATTGTGTAACGCATTATGTCAAAGCAATAGTAGTATAGCATTTAATTAGGTAGCATTATAAGAGATATCTATCATCACATACAAATCAAATAAGTTGGGGGTTATGGCTAATTATATCATATTGTATGATAAATTTATATAACAATCACAGCAATTCAGGTATAATATTCTATCCTATTATTCAAGTAAGAACAATCAAGTGATATAATATGGAAAAATTGTTACCCTCAAGTCATTGACACTCAAATCATAACATATCTTAATCTTATGTCACTCATCCTACATTGTGCTACCAAACCAAATTTTATAAAAAATCTGCCGGTCGACCCTTTTGCCTAGGGTATCATGCCTTTGCTAGCAAAAATCATAATGATCAGTTTTTCTTAAGTACACGCATATCAGAAAATATATAATATATTTTACATTCCATATCATACTTAATATTCATCTCTGCATATTATTTTCAGTGTACATAAACTTGCTTGCAACTCAACAATAATAGGTTTCGCCAAATTAATCAGTATGTTTAATTAATATGTACAAATCATAAAGATGATAAACATAAACTTGGATATCATTTTCTTTACGTCAACATGTTTTGCAATACCTTTACCAAAATTTAGAATAAATTTATACAACTTAAATTATGGTATGTTATTAAAAAATAAAATATTGGGTGAAAATTTTAATATAATCATGCCGATATATGCAGAATAACTAAAAAACCAAATTAAAATTATATAGTAAAAGCTTGTCGAATTCTAACTAAATTAAAATTTAGAAATCACACAAAACAAAACCACTGAAAATAAAAGTAGATTGTCAAAAGCCTGTACGAGTCAGACAATTTTCTCAATTGCCCTGTACCACAAAAAAAAAAAATAATAAATAAATAAAAACATGAGCTCTAAATCTTCTCTCATCTCTCCTCTTTCTCCTCACTCTCCTTTCTCTCTCTCTAAATTTTCTCACAACAAAAACAAATGGAAATGAGTGCTTAAGAGAAAGTTCTAGAGAGTTGAAGTATTTCTTATATAATAATTAA